CTGTCCCTAGCTCACTATCTCAAGTGGCCATAGACTACTCACCCCTCCCTCAGGATGAGGGTTTCTTCCCCACAGCAGCCTTCCTTCTGGCCCTGTTCCCTGGGAAGAAGAACAGCTCTTCTCCTGTACCAGCTCTTTTGTTATAAGTCCCCTTTCCCTGTGATTGGCTAAAATTGGCGCCAAAACCTCTCAGGGGCTTCTGGGAGTTGTAGGCCTGGCCTCCTCTCACTGCTAGTCAGGTTTCCTGGGCCTGCTAGGCCTTGCTTGCACAGCTCAGATCATGACAGGACCGTGTACCTGGAACCAATTTTTACCCTTTGGGTGGGTCCCAGAAATCAATCCTTTTGCAATGAGAGAGAAGGCCGCAAGGTTCTGCTCTCAGGCAGGGAAGGACATCGGCTCCCCAGGGGACGCATTCCAAATTCATTGGTAGGGAGTGTTTTTTAATGCATTCCCTCTGCTCCCACTTCTTATCAGGGTGGTAGAAAAGGCCAGGAGGGAAGGATCCAATATGATTTTGGTGGCCGCATTTTGGCCTCGCCAAATACGGTTCCCTATCCTTATGGAGGTCTCCCAGGGGCGATACCTTCCCCTGCCGAAACAACCAGACTTGATCAGCATCAGCCAAGTGTTACACCATGACTTAAATTCCCTCAACCTGATGGCTTGGTGACTAAATTGCGACAGAGATTGAGAGCCAGTTTGGTGTAGTGGTTAAGTGTGCAAGACTAATCAGGGAGAACCGGGTTTGATTCCCGACTCAACATAAGAACATAAGAGAAGCTAATGTTGGATCAGGCCAGTGGCCCATCTAGTCCAACACTCTGTCACACAGTGGCCAAAAATACCAGGTGGTCCATCAGTGTGGCCAGGACACTAGAAGCCCACCCACTGTTGCCCCCCCCCCAAGCACCCAGACTACAGTGCATCACCTGCCCCAGTGCATCACTCCTCCATTTGCAGCTGCTGGATGACCTTGGGCAAGCCATAGTTCTGTCAGAGCCGTTCTCTCAAGGACAGCTCTGGAAAGAGCTCTCTCAGCCCCGCCTACCTCACAGGGTGTCTGTTGTGGGGACGGGAAGGGAAAGGAGTTTGTAAGCCGCTCTGAGACTCCGAGTGAAGGACAGGGTATAAATCCAATCTCTTCTTCTCTTCTTCTTCTCTTCTTCATTTTCTCACAAGAAGTGAATGACGTACTTTTGACCTGAGGCAAGCCCAGTACTAGAATGTCTTATTTACATAAATGGAGACCGTTTCCGCTGTGGTGTGGGGATAGGAAAATGTCATCAGGTTCTGCCTCCTTATAGGTCATATTTGAATACTTATTACGCCTGAGGAATAAAGGTTTAGTTTTCTCCTCTTTAAAGGTCCACCCGGCTGCTATATCTTGTTACCATAAGGAGGTAGAGGGAAAAATCAGTTTTCTCCCATCACCTGTCCAACAGATGCCTTAAGAGATTATGTAATCTCTGCCCACCTCGGGACCCTCTATGGTCTCTTTTGCTTGTTTTGACGCAATTGAGGAGTAAGCCAACCACTTGCCGTATGTTCCTTGGCTGAGCGTTCCATGGAAGTAGGCTTTTTAGTAGCCATTACATGAGTGAGTGGCTGCGGTGGCTCAAGTGGTTAAGACGCTGAATTGCAGGCTGTGGAAGGTCGGTCGTTCAGCAGTTCAAGACCCGGGTGTGCCGCATGACGGAGTGAGCTCCCGTCTCTAGTTCCAGCTCCTGCCAACCTAGCAATTCGAAAGCAAGAAATTGCAAGTTGATAAATAGGGACCACTACAGTGGGAAGGTAACAGTGTTCCGTGCGCCTTGGTGTTTAGTCATGCCGGCCACATGACCACAGAAATGTCTTCGGACAGCTCTGGCTCTTCGGCTTGGAAACGGAGATGAGCACCGCAACCCTAGAGTCGGATTCGACTGGCTTTTGAGCAAGGGAACCTTTACCTTTACAGGTGGATCCACCGTTTTAAAAGACATTCTCTGAGAGAGTAGTTCTTCGTCCTAGCATCAGTTTCCTCTCGAAACTCCTCTCCAAATTTCACATATCCCAAGATATAATCTTGCCTGTCTTTTTCCCCACACCAAGTTCTGAGAATGAGTAATTACTGTGCTCTTTAGATGTTGTTATTGTTGTTCAGTCGCACAGTCGAGTCCGACTCTTTGCGACCCCATGGACCACATCACGCCATGCCTTCCTGTCTTCCGTCGTGCTCCAAAGTTTGCTCAATTCCACGTTAGTTGCATTGATAACACTGTCTAACCATCTCATCCTTTGCCGTCCCCTTCTTCTTTTCCCTTCAATCTTTCCCAGCATCGGGGTCTTCTCCAGTGAGTGCTCCCTTCTCATTTGGTGGCCAAAATATTTGAACTTCAGCTTCAGTATCTGACCTTCTAGGGAATAGTTAGGGTTGATTTCTTTTAAGATTGATTGACTGATTCAATCTCCTTGCAATCCAAGGGACTCTCAAGATGTTAGAAGAGCCTTATTATTTTACCTTTAAAACAGGGGTCATTTCGTAGAAAAAGAGGTACAGGAGCTCATTAGCACAACTCATTAGCATACCTTATTTGCATATGCCACACCCCCTGACATCACTGGAAGTGTGTCAGAAGGCAACACCCACCACTCAGGCTCCACTGGACTGTTTTGGATAGCTAGCTATTGGGGGTGGGGGACGTACCTGAATAAAACTTACCTGGTTGCTTCTTGCTCTGACTGAGGGCTGCTGGGAGCAGGGGGTGGGGCTTGTTGCATGTGCTCGCCCCCTGGGCTCTTTACTGCCGGAGCTCTGCTCCTGTGCGCTCCTGCAGGAATGACCCCTGCTTAAAAGAACCCTGGAGTTCCGCAGGGATAGAGCACTGTTGATATGTTTTTCTGGGCCTAATAGGGGGAAGGAGGGCTTTCTCACTGACTTTATCCAGGAGGATTGTTCCCACCATTAGAAAGCGCTATAGTTTAGTTAAATTACCCTGTCCCTTTATTGTGTAGTGGGTTAAACGCCTACTAGAACCGCTGCGGCTGAGGTGGTGACCGCACGGTTCGTTGGACACAACAAAGTCTAAAGACTAACGGCCGGCTGGCCAACTATGTACACCCTGGGGACCACCCCCTTGGTCCAGTTGGTGGGTTTAAACCTCCCGCCAAAGTCCCATTGGTCCCCCAGTGGAGGGACCAGGAGCCTTGTCCCCATTGTTCTCCAGAGTCAAGCTCTGGGGTGTTCGCTGGCCCCTGGTGGAGGTCAGCGTACACAACACCCTTAAACATTCACGCACATTCTACAAGAGCCGTAGCTGCTTCTGCAGCTTTCTTCGATGGAGTGCCGTTAACAGAGATTTGCTGAGCTGCTGCTTGGTCATCAGCAGAGTCATTCGTGTGCCACCATGCGTTGGATCTGCAGGTGAGATGGGAAGCTCAAGTGGTACTGCACTCGCTGTTCAAATAAAGAGAGCATGCCCCACCACCTGGCGAGTAGCTTGCTAGACTCCCCGTGTGGGACTGCACAGAAGATCAATGATGAAAACAGGGCTGCGCTTACCTGTAACTGTTGTTTATTGAAGATAGATCCAGGGGGTCAGCTGTGTTAGTCTGAAGCAGTAGAACAAATTTAGAGTCCAGTCAGGCACCTTTAAGACCAACAAAGTTTTATTCAAGGTATGAGCTTTTGTGTACATGCACACTTTTTCATATACATTCCTTAAGAGATTATGTAATCTCTGCCACCAGTGTATTTGAAAAAGTGCACATGTACACGAAAGCTCACACCTTGAATAAAAAATACATTCCAATGTGTTTGAAAAAGTGTGTGTGTACACAAAAGCTCATACCGTGAATACAAAATACATTCCAATGTATTTGAAAAAGTGTGCATGTACACGAAAGCTCATATCTTGAATAAAATATACATTCCAATGTATTTGAAAAAGTGTGCATGTACACGAAAGCTCATATCTTGAATAAAATATACATTCCAATGTATTTGAAAAAGTGTGCATGTACACGAAAGCTCATACCGTGAATACAAAATACATTCCAATGTATTTGAAAAAGTGTGCGTGTACACAAAAGCTCATACCTTGAATAAAATATACATTCCAATGTATTTGAAAAAGTGTGCGTGTACACGAAAGCTCATACCTTGTATAAAATATACATTCCAATGTATTTGAAAAAGTGTACATGCACACGAAAGCTCATACCTTGAATACAAAATACATCCCAATGTATTTGAAAAAGTGCGCGTGTACACGAAAGCTCATACCTTGGGAAAAAATACATTCCAATGTGTTTGAAAAAGTGTGCGTGTACACGAAACCTCATACCTTGGGGAAAAAATACATTCCAATGTATTTGAAAAAGTGTGCGTGTACACGAAAGCTCATACCTTGGGAAAAAATACATTCCAATGTATTTGAAAAAGTGTGCGTGTACACAAAAGCTCATACCTTGGGAAAAAAATACATTCCAATGTGTTTGAAAAAGTGTGCATGTACACGAAAGCTCATACCTTGAATAAAATATACATTCCAATGTATTTGAAAAAGTGTGCGTGTACACGAAAGCTCATACCTTGAATAAGACTTTGTTGGTCTTAAAGGTGCCACCGGTCTCTAAATTTGTTCTGTTGATCATTGAGTATCTTCTGTGCAGGCACACGTCCCCTTCCCCCTCTGCATTCTCTGGCTTCAGCAGCCTTAGAGGTACTGAGGGTGGGGGTGCTGCTGGGCAAGATTATGTGGTCCCCGGGCGGGAACAAATGTTGGCTCCGGCGTGCAGCACCCCCTGGAGGCTTTTAGCTGTAAAACCTCTCCGATGGCAGGCCTGCTCATGCGTAGTCCCCACGTGTTGCCTGCACAGAAGGTACTCGATGAACAGCAGTCACAGGTAAGTGCAACCCTGTTCTCTACTGCAGACCTAACACGGCTACCCTCTGAAACTGCTATAACCTATTCTTCCTCCACCCTTCTGTTTTGGCTTATTCCTGCCTCCCGCCGCAGCCCTTGGACTTTGAGTCCCGCCGCTCTTACACTTTCCGAGTGGAGGCCACCAATACACTCATCGACCCCCAGTACATCCGCAAAGGGCCCTTCAAGGACGTGGCGACGGTCCGTATTGCGGTCGAGGACGCCGACGAGCCCCCGGCTTTCTCACGCCCCGAGTACCGCCTGGCCGTCTACGAGAACAGCCCCCCGGGGACCCTCGTGGGCAAGGTGACGGCCGTGGACCTCGATTCCCCCAGCAGCGTCATCCGGTAACAGCAGAGGGCTAACCGTGCGAGTGGGGTGGGACCGCTGGTTGTGTGTACGTGTGTGTGAAGTTACAGTTGCTCCCTTTATACCTGGTTGCCATGACAACCTGATACCCCAGGTTCCCCCCCATCTTCTAGATACTCTGTCCTGCCGCACACGGATCCCGAGCGCTATTTCAGCATCAACTCCCAGGACGGGACGATCCTGACCTCGGTGCCCCTCGACCGGGAGGTGGTGCCCTGGCATAATCTGACCGTGGTGGCGACTGAACTTGGTAAGGGTCCGGTGGGTTTGTGCGGTGAGGGGGAGCCCGTGGTGGCAGGGGGCGCTCCCCACTTGTGGGCGAGAGCCGCCCATTGGCCAATATTGACCCATCATCTTTCTCTTCCTTCATTCCTACATGTCATTGTGATGGTTGCTGCATGTTTGTTTTTTTCCTCGCACATCCCTGTTGGCTTCCTCCTGCCTGGCTCCTGTGCGCGTGCCCTGTGTGGCCTCTCGTCATACTGGCTGTGCGGGGCGATGCCTCTTTTGCACATCAATGTTATGGGATCGGTGGCCTGTCGTTTGCTCCGCCGTGTGGGCTGTGTCTCCGTGGGCATCTGTGGCTTTCTTGCACGCGGCTGCCCGTCGATTGCGTATCGCTTGCGTGTGATGGCTCATTTGTTGCATGCTGGTCACATGGGGTGTGTGTGTGTGCTCCATGCTAAATGCGGCTGCAATTTTACACGCTCCTGATCATAACCGCTGCACACCTGTTGGGATGGGGTGCGGATCTCGTTGGCTTGCTTGTTCCTGGTGCATCGCCTGTCGGTCTTCTCTCATCTTTGTGGCTGCTGTGGTTCTGTGGCAACCGACGGTGGTGTGTGTCCTGCGTGTCATTCTGTCTCATTGGCTTCTGCCCACTGTAACTGCCTTGCCCGGGGTGGGTGGGCTGTGTGATTTTTTTAAAAAAAATGGGGCTTTATCTGCTCCTTTGTTGCTTGTGTGTGCCGGCTGTATGTCATTCTGTGTCGTTCCTGTATTGGACTGGGGTGTGCCACATGCATGGCTTTGTTTTATTGCATTGCACTGTGTGTGTGTGTGCTTGGGTGTGACTCGTCTTCTCCACACACCCCTCTCTTGCTATCAGACAGCCCTACACAGGTCTCCCACGCCCAAGTGGCCATCCAAATCCTCGACGTCAACGATAACCCACCTCAGCTGGAACACAGCTACGAGCCCTTTGTCTGTGACAGTGCCACTCCTGGCCAAGTAAGTGTATGCGCTTGGGGCTCTTTAGCTTGGAGAAACGACGGCTGAGGGGTGAGATGATCGAGGTTTATAAGATTATGCATGGGACAGAGCGGGTCAAGAAAGAAAGACTTTTCTCCCTTTCTCACAATACAAGAACTCGTGGGCACTCCATGAAATTGCTGAGCGGTCGGGTTAGAACGGATAAAAGGAAGTCCTTCTTCACCCAGAGAGTGATTAACACATGGAATTCGCTGCCACAGGAGGTGGTGGCGGCTACAAGAATGGACGGCTTCAAGAGGGAATTAGATAAACATATGGAGCAGAGGTCCATCAGGGGCTCTTAGCCACAAGGGATAGATAGGAACTCTCAGTCTGGGGCCAGGGATGCTCTGTATTCTTGGTGCTTTTGGGGGGTGGGCAACAGTGGGAGGGTTTCTGGTGTCCTGGCCCCACTGCTGGACCTCCTGAGGGCCCCTGGTATTTTTGGCCACTGTGTGACGGAGTGTTGGACTGGATGGGCCATTGGCCTGATCCAACATCGGCTTCTCTTTTTGTTCTTATGCCGGGGTGCCAGAGCTTAATGGGCTAGAGCAAAGAGGATGCCTTGGGTTCATCCTTTCGTGTTCTCTCTCTTTCCAGTTGATCCAGCTGATCCGGGCAATAGATCGGGACGAGGATGGGAACGTGAGCCGTATCATCATCCGCTCCCCACTTGGGACAAGGGAACCCAACGTCACCGTGCGAGACAACAGGGGTGAGTGCTGCACCCACGCCTCACTTCCCCACTCGTTCCCTAATGTCCCCGTTTTGCTGTGTTGCCGGCACACGGTCCTCTGTTCTTGACCGTGTGGACCGGGAACTTGTTTTAAAAATGAAAATGGGAATTCTTCACAATGCAATGGTTTGTCTGGGTATGTTGGGATCTGTGCAAAGATTTAGGTAGGACACGCTGCCTTCAGAGAGCCAGTTTGGTGTCGTGGTTGGGAGCATGGACTCTAATCTGGGAGAACTGGGTTTGATTCCCCACTCCTCCACATGCAGCAGCTGGTGTGACCTTGGGTCAGTCACAAGTTCTTTCAGAGCTGTTCTCTCGGGAGCAGTTCTCGAGAGAGCTCTCTCAGCCCCACCTACCTCACAGGGTGTCTGTTGTGGGGAGGGGAAGGGAAAGGAGATTGTAAGCCGCTCTGAGACTCCTTTGGGTAGTGAAAGGCAGGGTATAAATGATCCAGGGCTCTTTTTGTAGAAAAAGCCCAGGAGGAACTCATTAGCATAATAGGCCACACCCAACAGCAGGAACTCATTAGCATATTGGGCCACACCCCTGACAGCACAGCTCATTAGCACATTAGGACGCACCCCCATGTTACCAGAAGTGTGGTCATCCAGCCACACCCACCTTTTGCTTGTTATTCTGTTTACCTTCTTTGTTGTCAAAACCCAGGACTTTTTTGTAGCAGGAACTCATTTGCATGTTAGGCCACACACCCCTAATGTAGCCAATCCGAATGAGTTTCTGCTGTTGGGTGTGGCCTATTATGCTAATGAGTTCCTGCTGGGCATGGCCAACTTGGGAGCCAGCCTCCGTTCCTGCCCCAAAATAGCCCTGTATAAATCCAATCTCCTCCTCCTCCTCTCCTCTCCGTGGGCTTAGCCCCTGTATTTCTGGCCCTTCCTCACTCTCAGCTATTCTCTAAGAGCAGGAGATAAATGGCCTGGAGTGTCCATGGAACTGAGGGGATTGTTTGGATGAACAGGTGCATCGCTGAGAGTGTGTATGTGTGTGTGGGCTGGTCAGATACTTTTGAAGCGGGAATGTTCTTTATACTTCTCCTGGAAAGATGGGCCTCGAGGGCGGCCTAAATCCTCCCTTCTCTCTCACGCTTCCCTCCCCGACAGATAACTCGGCTTCTCTGCTTCTCCGTGCCGCTCGTCTGCCCGCACAAGGCGGGCCCCTGCTGGTGCCGCTGGAGCTGGTGGACGGCGGCTCCCCCACCCGCACCGGCTCCCCTACCCTGACAGTCAGCATCTGCCGGTGTCGACGTGACGGGGCCATGCAGTCTTGCGGGCCGGAGGCCCTGGGATCTCCCGCCGGCCTCAGCACAGGAGCGCTGCTCGCCATCCTGGCCTGTGTCGGCACTCTTCTTGGTGAGGAAGGGCGCGGAGCAGGGGTCCCCCCCACCTTTCTGAGCCCCTGGGCTCCTTTGGGATTCCGACACGGGGTGGTGGGCCCGACTACAAAATGGCTGCCGCAGGAGGAGGAGCCACACACACAGAAGAAGCCAAAATGCAGGGAAGGAGAGGGGTCGTTTAAAAAAAATACCCCGGGAAAGAGGGGTTCGAGGGAATAGAACCAATGCTGTGAGGTCAGCTGCCGCGGAAACAAAATAATCTCCAGAGCCAGTCAGAGGCCCTGCAGGGCAAAGACTCCATCTGGCCATACCCACTTTCTAAAAAAAAACCTTTGTGGGTGCCAAGAAAGGATTCATCGGGTACCACGGTGCCCGTGGGCGACATGTTGGGGACCCCTGGCATAGAAGGATCGTGGGCTGGTTGTAGTGGTAGGCTCCAAGACACTAGGGTTGGAGCACACTTGCAGAACGGTGGGTGTACAGAGACCCTGGATGTGGACTCCCGGCCAAAACAGTATGCATCCTAGCACGGATCGCCGCCAATAAGGAAATACGGCTTTGAACAGGGACTTCCGAAACAGTGGGAGGAGCTGAGATGACTGTGGATGGGTACTCGACAGAAAGGGAGGGGCACCGAGACTTCATCTGGAGAAGGGTAACAGCTGTAAAGCCAGTCTGGTGTCGTGGTTAAGTGCGCGGACTCTAATCTGGGAGAGCCGGGTTTGAGTCCCCACTCCTCCACTTGCACCTGCTGGATGACCTTGGGGAAGCCACAGTTCTGTCCAGGGGTCATTTCATAGAAAAAGAGGTGCAGGAGCTCATTAGCATAACTCATTAGCATAACTTGTTTGAATATACCACACCCCCTGACATCACCGGAAGTGTGTCCGAAGGCAACACCCACAGCTCAGGCTCCACTGGACTGTTTTTGATTGCTAGCTACTGGGGGGGGGGGACATGCAAATCTGTCCTTGCAGAGGAGGTAGAGCTTATACCTGAATAAAACTTAGTCTTAAAGGTGCCACTGGACTGTTTTGGACCGGGGGGGGCAGGGGGAGCTCTGCAGCTTTCCTTGGTGCTTCTTCCTCTGACTGAGGGCAGCTGGGAGCGGGGGGTGGGGCTTGTTGCTTGTGCCCGCCCCCTGGGCTCTTTACTGCCAGAGCTCTGCTCCTGTGCGCTCCTGCAGGAAATGACCCCTGGCTCTGCCAGAGCTGTTCTCTCAAGGGCAGTTCTCGAGAGAGCTCTCTCGGCCCCACCTACCACACAGGGTGCCTGTTGTGGGGAGGGGGAGGGGAAGGAGTTTGTAAGCCGCTCTGAGACTCCCTTGGGTAGTGTAGGGCAGGGTGTAAATCCAATCTCTTCTTCTCTTCTTCTGTCTGTGTGAAATGTCATCAGTGCGGAATTTCCAGATTATAACCTCAGAGAGAGGAGATCCAGCAATGTTGGGAAGGCAAAATAGTGTGGAGGCCCATTAGGGAACAGAGCAAAGAATTAGTTGTTGTAGGTTTTCCAGTCTGTATGGCCATGGTCTTGGCATTGTGGTACCTGACGTTTCGCCAGGAGCTGTTACTGGCATCCTCAGAGGTATAACACAGAAAGATGGAGTACTCTCTGTGTCAAGAGTACTCCATCTTTCTTTGTTATACCTCTGAGGATGCCAGTCGCAGCTGCTGGCGAAACGTCAGGCACCACAATGCCAAGACCATGGCCACATAGCCCGGAAAATCTACAACAACTAACGAACTCCGGCTGTGACAGCCTTCGACAACATAGAGCAAAGAATATTGGGGAGGGATGCGCTGTGCCGAATTCCACGAGGAACACCCAAAAGAACTGAGAGGAGCAATATGTGTGGGGTTCACGTTCGGTCTGACTAACCCATACTCGTCTCCACCCGCTTTATCCCTGCTGCCTTATCGATATGTTCGTACCGATTCTCCTTCAGCGCTGGTGTTGCTGTTTGTCGCCCTCCGGAGGCAGAAGCAGGCGGCGCTGCTGCCCTTCGAAGAAGAAGACGTCCGCGAGAACATCATCACTTACGACGACGAGGGCGGGGGCGAAGAGGACACCGAGGCCTTCGACATGGCCGCCCTGCAGAACCCGGACGCCGCCCCTCCACCGCCGCAGCAGCGGCGCCTCCTCCGGCGTGACGTGCTGCCCCGCCCGCACTTCCCACCGTCCTTGGCCGCCCGCATACCCCCACAACCCCACGACGTGGCCAGTTTCTTGGCCGCCCGCCTGAGCGAGGTGGATGCCGATCCGTCGGTCCCGCCCTATGACTCCATCCAGGTGTACGGCTACGAGGGGCAGGGCTCTTCCGCCGGCTCCCTCAGCTCCCCCGGCTCCTCGTGTGCCGGCGACAGCGATGCGGGTGGATATGAGTATCTGGAAGAATGGGGGCCACTCTTCCGAACACTGGCTGAGCTCTACGGGGCCCCGGAGGGGCCACCCCCAACTTGAAAGGCACCGTGAGGGGACCACAACGGCGGAACGGCACTGTCTCCCCTTCCTCTCGATCCCTTTTGTGTTGATCGTTCTTTTCTCCCTTTCGGTTGATTGAATTATTTGTTCTCTGTTGAACCTGTCTATTGGACTCCCCCCCCCCCCCCCCCCCCCCCGTTCCTGTTTGCATCACCTCAGTCTCTCCTTCCTGGTTTTTGTGTCATTCTCATCCCTTCCTGTGTCTCTTCCTACTGTTGGTTTGCTGTCGTTAACAATCCCGCCTCTCCTTCGCCTTCTTCCACCTTTTCTTGAAATTATTTCTCTTTCTCTCTTTTCTTACTCTCTCTCTTCTTTCTTCCCCCCCTTGGTTCTCTTTTCCCCGAGTTCCTCCATTCACTTTGCACTTTCCCCTCAGTTCTTTGCTTTCTTCCCTCATGGCATCCTTGTCTCGATTACTCCCTCCACACCCAAGCAGCTTTTAGATTTGTCTTTCTGTTCCTCTGCCTTTCACATCATCCCATGCCATAGTCAGGGCCGTCTTTTCGTTTCACTGTTATCTGTGCTGTGTTTATTATGTTTTCTCCCCTCCCCTTGGCCCCTGTTCCCCCGAATCCCATATAAATTACTCTATGCATTCATTCTCTCCCAGAGTCCTTCGGTACCAAACGCCCTCCCTACCCGAACCCTAACTATTCAGACTTGCCAGCATGGATTTACCTCTCATTCAATGTACGGCCTCCCATGACCTGACCGGGGAACTGGTCAGCCAGGGCAGGGGGTTTAAGCACCTCGCCCCTTCCCGGGACCCCTGGACATCATCGTTGGGGGTGGCTAGGGTGGGTGGCGGACTCAGCTTGGACTCTGCCCCCTGGATAAAGCCCTCCAGATTCCATATTGGGACTTTCTATATCCAGGACAATTTTATTCCAGGGAGCCAACACATAATCTGTATCAGGTGGGGGCATCCATGTTATAATTTCGTAATAAACAATTTATTTTCTAAAAGAAAGGCATTTCAGTGCGAGTTTTGTGTGTGTGTGTGTGTCAACCATAGCTCCTGAGAACTGTTGCCAGCTATTGGCTCTAGACAAGTCTAGACAGTGGAGTAGAAGAAGAAGCGATTAGATTTATACTCCGCCCTTCACTACCCAAAGGCGTCTCAGAGCGGCCTACAATCTCCTTTCCCTTCCCCCCCCACAACAGACACCCTGTGAGGCAGGTGGGGCTGAGAGAGCTCTTTCGAGGACTACTCTTGAGAGAACAGCTATGACAGAACTTGTGACTGACCCAAGGTCACACCAGTAGCTGCATGTGGAGGAGTGGGGAATCAAACCCGGTTCTCCCAGATTAGAGTCCACACTCCTGACCATTACACCGAACTGGTATAATGGATGGACATTGAGGTATGTGTGACCTCAGTGTGCTAGGTTCTATCAGTCCTCGGAAAGGGATCTGGTATGGGGAGGAGTTAAGGAGCTGCGGTGGCTCAAGTGGTTAAGACGCTGAACTGCAGGCTCTGGAAGGTCGGTAGTTCAGCAGTTCGAGGCCTGAGTGTGCCGCATGACGGAGTGAGCTCCCGTCTCTAGTTCCAGCTCCTGCCAACCTAGCAGTTCGAAAGCAGGAGATTGCAAGTAGATAAATAGGTACCACTTCGGTGGGAAGGTAACAGCGTTCCGTGCGCCTTGGTGTTTAGTCATGCCGGCCACATGACATGGGAAACTTCTTCGGACAGCGCTGGCTCTTTGGTTTGGAAATGGAGATGAGCACCGCAACCCTAGAGTCGGACTCGACTGGCTTTTGAGCAAGGGAACCTTTACCTTTATCTAATTATGGGGAGGAGTAGAAAAGAGCCAGAGTCCAGGAGCACCTTGAAGACTAACATTTGTGGCAGGGGAGGAGCTTTTGTGCGTTACTGCTTACTTCTTCAGATGGTATTGTGAGGAAGAGCGAGCACCCGAGCTTCTCTTTTTACTAGTTTCAGAGGGTGGCCCTTTTGGTCTGCAGCAGAAGAACTGAATTCGAGTCCAGCAGCACCTCCGAGACAAACAAGGTTCTCAGGGTTATAAGCTTTCAAGAGTCAAAGCTTCCTATCTGATTAAGGGAGCTTTGACTATCTGACGAAGGGGGATTTTTGACTCTAGAAAGCTTACTGTCCCGGAAATCCTGTTTGTCTCTAAGGAGCTATTGGACTCCAATCTAGCTTTTTTTTGTGTGACTAGGACATCCTTTTTAAATGCGCACTTGAAATCTTGACTGAAGTAAACTCAGGTAGTCAAATCCTAAAGCCTCAGTTCTTAAGCGTGTCCCTTGTGGGGAGCGGACACCCAAGTATCTCTTTCCGTGTTTCCTTCCGATCCCAGGTTTTAAAAAAAGACTGGACGTGTGGGACGAGGCCGCCGAGACAGGCAGATGTATTTGTACTCCCTGCCTTTCACGGCCTTTGGACCCGGCTGTTTACAATTTTATGTGGGAAAAAAATATCTGCCAGGCGAGGGTCCTCTGCAGGTTACTGATGAAGCAGGTTGGGGAGGAGGCCTTTCAGTGTCTGAGAAACAGAACCGCCAGCGGCTGAATTTTTTTTAAAAACCCAGTACCTGAATGGCTCTGGGGTTGAACCCAGAGCGGGTGTGGGGGCTGTTGCCAAAGGTAGGGCACAAAGGTAGGGGTCCAGTGCGAAAAGCTTTCAATGTACAGCTGGGAGAGGCTGTCTGGGGGAAATTCTGGCCCATTCCCTTACTTTTTGCAGCAAAAAAACCCCAGGGAGTTATTTGGGGGGCGATTTGAGCCCCAATTTTGGAAAAGAAAGGTGGGTTCATCGATACATTGAGAAGTGGGCTCGACTTCAGCTTGGCCTTCATCCAATGCGACTTCTGGGGTCCAGTGCGAAAAGCTTTCAATGTATAGCTGGGAAAGGCTGTTTGGGGAAAATTCTGGTCCATTCCCTTACTTTTTGCAGCAAACCCCCCCCCCAGGGAGTTATTTGGGGGGAAATTTGAGCCCCAATTTTGGAAAAGAAAGGTGGGTTCATCGATACATTGCGAAGTGGGCTCGACTTCAGCTTGGCCTTCATCCATACCATCATATTATGAGCGTGGCCTCTGCTCCCACCGGACCCAATGCCAGCCACCCACATCCGTGCCAGTTCCTACACAGCTCTCGACCAAGCCACGTATCCCACAATACATTGCAACCCTTCCTCACAGGTCCCTCTGCCTGTGGGCAGGCCCATCACTTGCCTAGAAGGAGCAGTCTCTGTTCTGGCAAACTCCCGGTGCCTGGCCTGGTTGTGGTGGTGAGAGGAAAGCACTCTGCACGGTGCTCAGAGGCACTCTCTTTGTCAATGTTTCACAGGTTCCTCATTGACCCCTGAAATGGATATGGCCCCCAAATCAGCCTGGCTCGTGCACTGCTTTAGCCTCCCCTTCTGTCTGTCCCATTCACCACCTTTCCCCCTCCTTATCTCCCACTGCTCTCGTCCCTGTACTTCCGTTCTTCCTTAGCCTCACTGGCATCCCCTGCCATCTCCTGGGCTTGCCAACCTCCAGATCGCACCTGGAGACCTCCCGTTATTACAATCAGGGGTCGTTTCGTAGAAAAAGAGCTAGGGGAACGCATTAGCATAACTCATTAGCATATGCCACACCCCCTGGCATCAGGGGCCTGGCGGTGGACCTGCAAGGCCGGCGGGAGTGCGAGGAAGCCCCGCCAAGGCCCTCCCTGGCCCCAGGCAGGCAGGGGTGGGGAGAGGTGGGGAGGAAGCAACTTACCCTCCCTCTTCTCCTGCCTCCTCCTGGCTGACAACTGGCAATCCTACATCTCCCCCCCCCCCCGCAATGTCTACTTCTCTCCAGTCCAAAGCGCTTCCAGCCAGTGAGCGGTTGGTAATTACGCCTGCCAGCCCTCCCCCTCAGTCCCAGATATCTCTGGCTTCTCAGTGCTGAGGGGAAAACACTCCACACATGCTCAGGGGCACTCCGTGTTCTAGAACTGAGGCACTGAAAACAGCTCTCTCCCAGATGAAGCTCTGTATCCTTTGTCTTTCTCACAGTCCCTCACCCCAGTCTTCTGACCCCTGACCAACGTTCCCTCTAAGCTGCGGGGTCTTGTGAGCAAAAATTCTACTTTGTGAGCGACCGGCATTAAAGTTGTGAGCGAGCAATTTGGCTACTGCATCGATTAGTCTGCTCTGGAGCCCCATCCTTCCTGAGCTGAGGCAAAAATGTAAGAGCTGGAGGCTAAAAAAACTGTGAGCTAGCTCACACTAACTCAGCTTAGAGGGAACACTGCCCCTGAGCCATTCCTCAACTCCCCCCCATCAGTCTTCGCCTCCGCTCCTTCAAGGGCACCTGGGGGCCGCCAAATAAACCTTCCTTCTTCCCATGCGTCTCCCTTCCCCCTCCGCTAACTCTCCCCCCCTCCAGATAACTCGCATTTCTTCCTGCTGCTTGGAAATCAAAATGCCACAGGGGAGGAAATGAGCCAAAGTTGTGCCCTCCTTGCAAAACGCTGGAGTTGCTCTTCACCCGTGAGAAAACTGCTGGCCTGGCACTTTGGCGTATCCTGGTAGCGCTCCGCCACCTTGATGCAGGAGGAGGGGCTGGTGTTGTGTCTGTGTGTTTTTTTAAAAAAAAATGAATTTTGCAAAAAGCTGTTTATTTCTCGGAAATGTACCGCCAGACAGGGGCCCTGCAGGTCAACGTGGGGAAAAAACAATAACGTCCCCTTTTCAGAAACAGTTTGTGATATTATTAAAGCGAGATGGAGCCTCAACACGCTTGCACACAAAACACCCTAAATAATTACATACCCCTTAAGCCTGGTAATAAACGTGTCTGGAAGCCTCAGGCCGGCGAACACAGCAAAGACGGAGAAGAAGACTGTTCGGATTGTGGCTCCTTAAAGCAACCGACCCCTGAAGTATCCTACCACAGGGCTGCCAACTCCAGGGTGGAAATTCCTGGAGATTAAGGGGGGTGGGGGTGGAGGAGGAGGAGGAGGAGGAGGAGAAGAAGAAGAGA